AAATGTATTTAATATAATACCTAACGTGTAAATAGGTTTCATTCATATCTGTTACGTAATTGTATGATTGAATGAAATAGAAATTACTTCATTAGGAAATAGAAATTATTTTATACTTTTTAGTGCATTTCGAAGTCGGCGTATTTTTTTTCTAAAAATTATTTTTCACCATAGCAGACTAACGCAATAAAAAATTAATTATAGGTAGAAATTAATTGAATCTAATTCATACAGTGTTTGCAAATGTGTGTTTCAGCGAATGTCAGAGGCAATTGGGCAGAATTCTTGATGACATGGGCGAGGCTTCGGCTAGGGCCCAAGGATTGAACAAGTCGATAACCAGCTCCCTAAAACTTCGAGATACGGACCATATAGTTTATTTATTAGTGGACAATGAAGCCAACAAGTGAGTCTCTTAATTATTTCATTGTTATTAATGTAATTTCACTGTGCATTCTTATTTTGATATTTAGTATGACAAAATTATATATACTTTGAAAATTACACTTAAGTATTAGAATAATAAAATTTTAGGGTTTGAAGATCTCAAAGAACATTGAATATTTAGCCTCAAATTTTCGAAACAAAGAGATTATAAAAACCCACATACTCAAAGATCCAAAATTCCATGGTCAAAATTTAAAAATTTCAAATTCCAAAATCCCAAAGTCAAAAATCTCAAATTCCAAAATTTGCAATCCCAAAATTTGAAATTCCAAATTTGGAATTCCAAGATTTCAAATTCTAAAATTTGAAATTCCTAAACTCCAAAATTCCAAAATTTGGAATTCCAAGATTTCAAATTCCAAAATTCCAAAATCCAAATTTGGAATTCCAAGATTTCAAATTCCAAAATTCCAAAATCCAAAATGTAGAATTCCAAAATTTGAAATTCCAAAACTCCAAAATTCCAAAATTTGGAATTCCAAGATTTCAAATTCCAAAATTTAAAAATCCCAAATTTCTAATACTAAAATTTCAAACTCTAAAGTTTCAGAATTCCAGATTTTCAATATTCTATAATTTTAAATTCCAAAATTTAAAAATCCCAAAATTTAAAAATCCCACGTTCACTGTTCCAAAAGTTCAATGTCCCAAAACTCCAAAAGTACTAAAATTCCTCCCCATTTCAAAAATAAACATCCCACAATAAAGACCATAAAATAAAAATGCCTAAAGAATGCTCAATAAAGCCACTGTCATCAAAGTACATAAAAGCACGTACAGCCTATACATAGTACGTATAACGTCGATTCTAACGAAGAGCACATTGCAAAAGAGTAACTTGAGCCCCAGCCAGTAGGAAGGAAGCTGTATTTCCCAGGATAAGGGGTATCGCGATGTGCAAACTGGTTGCTGGATCGATATGTCGTGTCTGGTGTCGCCTTGGCTGCAGAAATCCAGCTTTCCCATCCAGAATCCTCATTCAAAGGGTTCTACGCCCATAGCGTTTTCATATTTTCTCCAACACTTTTTCATTTTCCAGCGAACTATTTACTTCGTTCAGAAAATTCTTATCGCACGAGTACATGTATGCAAATTCTCGGTAGCGAAACAATGAATCGTTTGTACACGATGATATTATTCACAACGTTTTTTTTTATGAGGTACGATATTAATTGCTTGAGGTAGCGGATACTACATAGTAGATACATTGGGGTCTTCATGACGAAGCGAATTTATTTTGTGATACGATCAAGCTGGTTGTAACATCACTAGGTGGATATTATCAACCGGGATGATGTGGGAATCATTAATGACCCGCATGAGTTTGATGTACTTGAAGCGAGAGAAAGGTGTTGGTGAAAGATATTGATCTTTCAATTAACGAATTTTATTTTGGTTTTTAGACTTTTTATTGAGTTACTGTTCGAATTTTTAAATATTATAAATTTTGCAAGTTGCGAATTAATGTTAGAATTTTTATATTTTTTAAATTCTGAAGTTTTAAATTTTCTAATTTGACGAGTTCTCAAATATACACTGGTTGCACATTTTTAAGATTTCAAAGTATCAAGAGGTGACGTGGACAAACTTTCATATTTCACTTTCCTATATTGCATTTGTAAATTTTCCAAATTTCCTAATTTCCATATTACTAAATTGAAATTTTTCTAATTATCAAATTTCCAAATTTATAAATATAGAATCCTCAGATCCCAAATGCTCAAATATGAAATTCTCAAATTCTCAAATTCACATATATAAATTTCTCAAATTCCCAAATTTGCAAATATGGAATCCCCAAATTCACAAATATAAAATCCACAAATCCCAAATTCACAAGTATCAAATTTTCAAATTCCCAAATTTACATATATAAAATTCTCAAATTCCCAAATTTGCAAATATGGAATCCTCAAATCCCAAATTCACAAATATAGAATTCTCAAGTCCCCAAATTCTCCAATTCCCAAATTCACATAAAATTCTGAAATGCCCAAATTCTCAAATTCCCAAAATCACACATATCAAATTCCCACATCACCAAATTCACAAGTATCAAATTCTCAAATTCCTAAATTCACATATATAAAATCCTCAAGTTCCCAAATTTGCAAATATGGAATCCTCAAATCCCAAATTCACAAATGTAGAATTTTCAAATTCCCAAATTCACATATATAAAATTCTCAAATTCCCAAATTTGCAAATATGGAATCCCCAAATCCCAAATTCACAAATATAGAATTCTCAAATCCCCAAATTCACAAATATAAAATCCTCAAATCTCAAATTCACAAGTATCAAATTTTCAAATCCCCAAATTCACATATATAAAATTCTCAAATTCCCAAATTTGCAAATATGGAATCCTCAAATCCCAAATTCACAAATATAGAATTCTCAAATCTCCAAATTCACAAATATAAAATCCTCAAATCCCAAATTCACAAATATCAAATTCTGAAGTCCCCAAATTCTCCAATTCCCAAATTCACATAAAATTCTGAAATGCCCAAATTCTCAAATTCCCAAAATCACACATATCAAATTCCCACATCAATCTCTCAAATTCCCAAAAATAAATCTCCCTTCCCAAACACCAAACCCAAAAACAACATAAAAACCAAAAAAAAAAACGTTCAATCAAGAAAAGAGCAATTCACAGCCCAACTACTTCGCACATTTCTCGTTCGCGCAAATAAAAAGTATTCCCCTCTGATCGTCATTAGCGCAGCGATGCATCAAAACATCCGTTGCATCGCGATCTACGCCTAGCGATGCAAACCACGATCGGTGGACCACAACCGTGAATCATTGTCGCATAATATTACAACCTTGCTTCGATTTAACAGCGGACTGGGCAGCGTGGTAGGACTGTTAAAGACCGGATCGAAGAACCTCTTCATGTTCGACGAGATGGGTGCTCATTATCAGCTAAAGCCGAGATGCATTCTCGACTTCTACATTCATGAATCTCGGCAACGTATGGGCCTTGGAAATATCCTCTATCAGTATATGCTCTCTGTAAGTAATCGCGATATTATTTAGATTTTAAGAGTAACGTGTAGTCGAAGAGTAACGTGTTCACTTCAGTGTAACATCACGGTTGCTCAGTTGCGTTCAAATATTTTATTCAATGCGTTCTGCTGCTGTAAACTACTGGTTTATATAATGATACGATTGAGATATCTGCTTTTTAATATTAGGGTCACGTTACTGTTATATTAATTGAGGCGCATAAAATAGGAAACTAGAAGCAAAAAATAAAAACGATTTATTCTCAATTAACACTAGATTTACGGACGTTTGATGGTCACTTTTATTTAAATTTACCTAAAGTAGAAAAATAATGAAATTGCAGATGATATGTGAACTGCCTAAAACATTGATTCTTTTGCTGCCAGTTAATGAAAGTTGACATTTTTACAATAATTTCTTAACAAACTCTGTCATCTAAAATAGACCTATTATCCGTCATTTTGACGGGTTCCGTAAATCTAGTGTTAAATATTATCATCGCTTTCATTATTGTATTTATCAACTTCTAATAATTATACAAGGTGTCTCACAACTTTGAAATGAGAGATAGCCTGTATTATTATAAAAAGAGTATACAAATCGTGAAAGAAGACATTTAACAATCTTAAAATATAAAAATATCTAAACGTCCGGAGAATATAATTTCTAAAAATTATTAAGCTTCCCTTTTTTATCCGGTAAAAAAATAACGTATTGTAGCCGATTAAAAGCAAGTTGCGCACGACGTTTGTGAATTGATTGCGAGGAAGAAATCGAGTAATGCACAGCGCGATTAATTTCTAAGTGACGTCCATGAATTCGCGAGGCGGAAAAGAAGAAGAAGAAAAGGGTCGGCAGAGAATTGCCGTTCGTGTTTGTGGCTCGTATCCTACATTCTTTTTCGCCTCGCTCTGTTATGGTTGCTGCACTTCTGTCAGAATCACAGCAAGTGCCTAGCGACACGTGAATTCACCTCGGTCTCGTGCACGGTGCTCAGCTATTACGATTGCCAGCTTGTACGGTACTTTTCCGTAATTAAAGCTTATTTACTCGGTTTCACGATGTTATGCTGCCATTAGTTCGCGTACCGCATTTTGCAAAAAATTACTGGTTTTTCGTTTAATAACGTGCGCCAAACTTCCTAAAGTTCAGAAATATGCGTCGTTTATTTTAATTCTGGACTGCGTTGGTAATCGCTTGCGTACTCAAATATCTCATGAATCCTTTGAAAGCCGTGTTACATTTTATATTTTATAATTTATTATTTTTATTTATTAATTTTTATTATTTAAAGTCAGTAGTTATTTTTCACTACTTAAAGTCAGTCAGTAAATTTCCACTATTTAAAATTAATTAATTTTCAAATTATTCTAATTTTTCATTTTTCTGATAGAGTTCAGTATGTTCAGTTTTTTAGAAAACTAAATGGACATTCAGATATTTAAACAGATTTGGTATTTCCTAATTATGCAAACTAACAAATGATTACTTGCACATGCAATCACCAGCGAGGTGAGACGAATTAGCATTTTGGGAGTCAATGGTCTCCCTGACCCCTATCTAGTTACGCGAATGATTTAATGACTATTCTGAATTCAGCGAACAAGATTGAACAGCGTTCAGAGTAATTAACATTAGGCATGTTGAAGGTAATCAACAGTCTTTCGATGCTTTCACCGGCATTCTAAGAATCTAAAGCGTAACTTGAGCTAAGGATGAATAACGAGCAGGTTAATTAACGCCAGGCATGGTTAAGGGTAATTAACAATTTCCCAACGCTTTCACTGCCATCTAAGAGTATTTAAAGTGTAAACGAAGGCTGAACAAGGCTTAGGAATTAAATAAATTTAAAAGGTATTCGCATAAATCTAAATATTTATTATTTAATTGCTCGGTGATTTCTTTTGTAACATAACAAACGTAACTGCAAATTATTACTCATTGTTCTCCATTTTGTATATTAAATTCTTCCTCTTAAAAATTCTTAGACAAAGTTTAAATTTATGTAATCAAAAACCTAATAAATGTCGAAATATGTTCAATCTACAAAATTGTTTGCGTCAAGTAAAAAAATGAAATAAAAGTTTTCGTCGATAAATGGCCAGCGAACATTGATTAAGCACAAAAAATGTTTGCACACGAGATCTTGATGTCGTGACTGTTTCTTGGTAAGAAATTGTTCAGGCCGTGCCAGTAAAGTGGCAGTAGATGATCTTAAAGAGCAGCGTGACAAAAGATCATTATAGTTGGGTGTTACGGTCGAAGGTAACTCGAAAGGTGACTGAACTCGTTCGAACTGTTTCCTACACGATTCATTCATCATTTACACCTATTCACACAAACAGAAAAACTAATCTCGAGGTTCGTTCATTAATAATCGTATCAATTCATTCGTGTGTTTTGTTTATTCGTTTTATAATAATTCTGATTATTTTGCAGGAAGAAAACATCAGGCCGGTGAAACTGGCGATCGATAGACCTTCGGAGAAGTTCTTAGCCTTCCTAGCCAAACATTACGGTCTTTCAAAAATAATTCCTCAGAACAACAAATTTGTCGTCTTTCAAGGATTCTTTGATGATGGTACGTTTCTATTTTTTACTTATTATTGCGCGAGTTCTAATTGTTAACATGTTCAGATGTTTTTAGACATTACTGAGGTGACCTTTGTGTTTTAAAATCACTTAATAACACGCGAAATTAGGGAAAGATAAGGATCTAATATGCTACATTAAAATTACACAAAGATGTATTTCATATACATGAAAATTTTACATCAGTACTTTATTGAGACTTCAGGAGAATTTAGAAGAGTCCAAGGAAAACCTAGAGAGAAAACCTTAGATTGTAGTTGTAAGAGAATCCAGGAAGAAATCAAGAAAAAACACAAGAAAGCTATAGGGAGCCTAGGAGGACCCAGATAGAAACTAGAGAGACATTAGGCAGAACCTAAGAAAGCCTAAAACTAGCCTATGCAAAACTAGAAAGAGTTTAGAAGAACTTAATACCTACAAAGTACTCAGGAAAATCTCAGGAAAAGTGTAAAGAGAACCTAGCTACAACCCAAGTACAAATACAAGTGGAATCCGGAATGAACATAACCTAGAATCTCCTATCCTTGCACATTCCTTACCTGATAAACACCTAAGATGCATGCAATCGTTGCCAACATTTATAATTCTCAAGCTAACTTATAAATAACTAATGAAACTTTTATAAAATTAGTCATTTATTAGAAGCTAATTCCAAAGCCATTTTCAAAATTGTAACAAACACCCTTAAGATAAACGACAGTCTAACGATAGTATAATTCATACAACGCCTCGTCTTGAAGGTGATTCCGTAAAAAGTCAGCCATGAACCCATTGTCGATCTGGTTTCAAGTTAAAGGTACAAGAATGGGGCAACGAAGGTCGGTTCGCTTTATAGCTCGTCCTTCGTCAACCGGTGCCCTAAATCGGTAATTCTTACTTGTCGAAGTATTAAATCGTGGTCAATGTCACTCTACAGCTACCTTATTATACGATTACCCTGATCGATTCGAAGCTGTCTGTAAATGATAAACTCGTTGCCTTGCTGTGTTGTCGATATGCGTAAGCTGATCCAATTCTCGTGACGTGGTATAAAACAAAAAATCAGACATTTTTATCCGAGGCTTCCGATAAGAAACGGAACGACGATTATTAGTGCTTAAATTTGTTTTGCATTATACAACTTTTATCGGAGAGCGATAAACTTTCTTGTATAGGAGTTGCTTTCTTTTAAAATTCTTTGAATTATGAGGTTGCATTAATTCTGTATTTTTTTACTTTTCAGAACGTCAGGATGTAAGGTCAAACAGATACAGCTTGCCAGCTAATGCGACGATGGATATTGGTGCATCCAACTCTGCGCATAATAATATTGGAAAAAGTAATTCTAGGTGTGTGAATTGTATTATTAAGTAGTTCTCAGCGTAATTAGGGGATTAGGAAAGTAGGAAGTTATGCAACTTATGAATGAAATTAATATCTAATGTATCGAGTTTAATCGAGAAGCAAATGTACAAAAATGTAAAGTGTTTTATTCTTTTCAGTATGAATGGTGTTCCATATTCGGCGTCTGTTTCGCGCGCTTCATTTGGCAGATACGCCGCGGCACGACCACCTTGTTCCATGGCAAATGTAAGTACGAGACCATAGAACATGGAATCCAGGTTGGAACTTCCAGTATCGAGTGTTTGAAAAGCAGAAAATTGCATAAATATAATATACCGAGCTACTGATATTTATTAATAAAATATTTAGACTTCATCTTTACTTAACTAAGTGTAGTTGAAAACTCTTTTTAAGATTTAAAAAAATTTACTTCTTTGTTTTTTGATAAGTTATAAGTTAGTAATTGTTTTATTTTTAAGAGTAATTATTTTTACAGATAAATGGAGGAACCCAGAAATTTTAAACAAGATTATGTCGAAAATAATTGAACACTAATAACTAACGCGTCAATCGTTATCGTTAATAATCATTTCCTACAAATAATTTATATTTTAGAAATCGTGAGATATCCTTAAATCGATTACTTTGCTTTGTGTGTTACAATAACAAAATAATTAGAAATAAAAATCTAGACTAAATATTATAATGCTTGCAACATCTCGACTAATACCGCATTAACGCTTTTTTTCTAGATAATCCATAATACCGCAGTGCTTGGTCCATCCGCCGAGCGTACTGGGTGAGTAAAATCGAAAGATAGTCATCCAGATCGTTGAACGATCTTGCAAAAAACTGCTTGAATTAATTAGCTATTCATTTGTTTGTTCGTACCTTGGAGAGACAAGCTCTCTCGGACACCTGACACGAAGCTTTAATTGAATTCTTCGATGGACCGTATAGGTTGTTCTCGGCGAATGATAAAATAATAAATGTTACTGTAGGTGCCGTCAACAATTTAAACGAATTTATTGTTAAGTGCTCGTTAACAATATTAACATTTTAATGGCCGCATATTTTACAGAATAGCTCTTATAATTTTTTTTTTATATTGAAAAAATATATTGACAACATAATTATTTATTTACTTGATATGTTCAAAAGAATTATATAAATAGATATAAAATGATACATGACAGCGGCCATGAAAGTGTTAAAAATCCAATCGCTAGTTCAATATTCATTGAGACCTGAAGATGCCCGAATTTGGTTGCTAAAGGGTTAAGGAAAACACGTATAACACAGCAATATGCAGCATAAACAGCTTTCACCTTTATTTACACCGAATGTGTACATGCTACCTCTTGCCAGCGCACATTTGAACGCGCGATTAATAATTTCCTGATCCTTTCTCTCTCGCCTGATTTGTCGATTATGTGACCTGTGATTAGAGACCGATAAGATCGTGTTGAAATACTGAGAGGCGATAGAAATATAGGAAACCGACGGCTTAGTCTCATTAATCAGAAACCTAATGAATGTACTTTAATTTATTTAATCACCCAACTGCGAAAAAGTAGATCTTGTCTTTCATTGTTTATCATAATTTTGTAAAGAATGCCTCAAGTGACTGAAATAATTTTTTATTATATTGATTAACGACTGATAAACTGTAATTGCAATATGGAAATCATTTATAGCGTTGTTTATAAAGATATTGTAAAAACTCAGAGAAATTTATGAAGAATTTATTGCGTTGAAAAGATGGATAAAAGAAAAACGTTATAAAAGATTTTCTATAATTTGTTTTATTGTATAGGTTGAAATATAAGTGTCATTTGTTCCAACGACACTCTTTCAACGCACAGACACTTGATTTATCGTTAGAACAATTTGCGCATGTATGTACGTTAGACTTATTTATTGCGATACCTATTATTTTTCAATGGTCACTCGCACCTGTGCATATAATTAAAAGATGTTCACCAAATGCTCGGCATGAATTTTATATTTATTTCCTTTTCGTTGACAGATATTAAGCGATTCCACTCCTACGAAAAACCAGATCAATATCCCTCAAAATCCTCTGCACCGGCAACACATGATATCCTTTCATTCTTATTTGCAGAGTAAGTAATTTATTTTGCGTCACTTGCAACAATCGAAGTTTGTGCATGACTTTCTTCTGTTACAACGTTGCAGAAATGTGATTTTGTTTGATTACATCGGCGTACAATTGTATTTTATTATAATTCTACGATATAAAAAGAAATTATCAAAAAGGTTATTCTGATATTTTACAGATTTTGAAACAACGTGATAGTGTGTTTATTTCATTTAGTAAATGCCTTGAAAGATATTCAGATCACGGTTCACTGTAAGTGAAAATGAAAGGAAACGTATGCGAATGAGAGAGAATGAAATAACCCCTTATTCCAGCTTGTAATCTTACAAATTGCACTAGGTCTAATAGTCCTATTAGATCGTTGAGAAAATTTCGCTTATGTGTTATAAATTGTTAGATAAGAGAGAAAATGTAAAAGTTATATTCTTTAACTTTCTTTATCTAATAATTGTGTGACGTGATCTTTCAAGGGCAACAAGACAAATATCTTTCAAAGCACGATTATAATTTAATAATATACAATTGCACGTGATAAGAAATTGTGGTCGTGGAATGCATGCGGTTGCTTTCGTGCATGTCTCCACTACATCTTCATGGGAAGTTACTTTTTCAGTGAAAAATTGAGTACGCCAGCTACGACAGAATCGAAACCGGAACGCCCACGTTCATTGAGCCTTTATTCGGAAGAAGAACAGAAACAACGTACAAGCGAAATGTCCACGGTACCAACACCTGCTTTACCAGAACATCAGCCAACACCTTTCGCTACCATTTTACGGGAAACGGAGAAAACTGAAAAAAATATAAAGCCTTCGCCGTCGTGTAGCCAAGAAGTAGCTGGTACTAATCAGCATACACGACTGGATCTTAAATTTTATCATTCCCCTCTGTGGTAAAGAAGCCCAAAGTGATGGAAGGACCATGAAGCATCTTCACATCTGAGGAAAAGTAATTAACAAGCTTGATGGTAACTGAATGATTAGTAAAAAGATATGTTATATACGAATAATTAAGAAAAGTATATTCTAATGGAATTCATTCAAGTAGACAGTGGAAAATGTGTATGTATGACAATTGGTACATAACTTTTTTTTTCTTTATCTGGGACATTCAATAAATTAACATTGAGTGTTGAACAAAAACTTTCTGATAATTAAGTCTGTATGAATTAATTGAAATTTGAAAAAGTGCTACATGCACTGTACAATATTAATTGTAAATGAAAGTTTGAAAATTATAGGTGATATTAGTGATTTTGTTAGAATAAAAGGCTGGTGTAATTTTATTTTGGACCTGTGGATAGAATGATAGAATTAGAGGAATCATATTTATGATGATATTAAGTACAGGACATTTTCAATGATTAATGGCTATGATATTATAGTTATTAATTAGTTACTCTTAAAGGAATGAATTAAAATCGTAGTACACGACTTGGAATTATTCGTGTAGAATGCATATATAAACTGGCTTGTAATTTTATACACTTATAAAGATGTACAAGATGTTTTTCATATGCTATGGATATAGTAATGTATAAGTTCTTTTTATGACTGAATTCATCATTCCTTTGGTTTAGGTTTAAAATATGGATCTATAAGAGAACCTGTTACTGTTCATTTCCGAACTTTAATAATTTTTGGAAAAACATGAAAATTTTTTGTAGAAAATATATTTACTAGTCATGCATTGAACATTTTGTATTTTGTATTATTAAATTCATAGACATTTAAAACGATGAGATATAAACTAATTATAAAGGTGCAATCAACACTATTGCAAAACAAATTATATCATGTGATAAAAAATAAACAGGTAAAGTACAAAATATTGTGATTTATTTTATAACATAATCATTCATTGAATTAATATATTCCAAACACATTTAAAGTTATCCTTTCCTATCATTAACATTCCTTATTTATACAGAATTTAAAATATTGATCTGATATTATATTAATAATTTCAATATTTTTGAGGCAGTCTTGTCAATAATAACATGTATAATACAGTTAACACTTTTCTGCTTTGGTAGCTTTTCTAATCAAAGTTAAGAATATTAAAATATCACATTTTTTAAATGTATTAATGTATTATAAATAAACGTTAAAATCAATTATATAAAAGAGTTAGTTAAAAAATAATATTTCTTTCGAGTCAGCATATAAACAGCATATTCCAAAAATAGTCAATTTTTAAACATCATATTCTGCACCATCTATTTTTTCGTCAGTTATCCAAGCTACTAAATATGCACAAGTTTGAGCATCTAAATACAAAAAACCTAATAACATTCCTTCAATATATCCTAATAACAGTCCTACAACAATATCAAGAATATGGTGCCTTCTCATTAGAAGTCTTGATAAGGCTACTGAGAAAACCCATGCTATTATTGGAAGAAGGAAAATAACAGATACTGGATATAAATAATAATAAACATAAAGAATAAGCATTGAGCGAGAAGCATGACCTGAGGGAAACGAATATTTGTCAGGTCCCATTGCAAAAGGGTCATTAGTAGCTGCAGGTCTTCTTCGTCTGGCAAGGGCTTTCAATATTGCAACAATAACAATGTCCAACAGTAAACCTACAAATGTAATGATAATATAAAAATTATATGAGACAATACATTTTGATTGTTACTACACATTATATTTTATCTACTAAAATTAAATATCAGTAATAGCTTCAGCTTTGATATTTCACTTACCTAATAATAAATTCACTTGCATTTGATATAAACTTTTACTGTTAAGAATCCAAATAAATGCAAGTACTGATGCAAGCCAGGGTATACCATGACAAGATATCTACATAGATAACAAATATATGAAGATAAAAATATTTTTAAAACTATATTAAATATAACATAATATGAATGAAACAATATTGGGAAGATAATTTGTAAAATTAAGGTACATATAAATTATATTGTTCGACATACCTCTAATATTGTATAATGTACTTTTAATTGTTTCAGAGGCATACATTTTTCTACCCATTTTACTAATTTTTCTGTCACCTGAGCGTCAATGTCTAATATATTTCTTAGCATTGATGGGACTTCTCTTTTTTGATGCTGCAACAAAAATATATTACATTATAATATATATAATGATAAGAATTATAGCATAATTTCTTTGTACTATAAAGCAGTGTAAGGTTATATAAATAGAATTCTGTTGAATTGCGTTAAAAAATTCCACATGTACTGTAAACAGATAAGAACAATGTGCCGACCAAAACATACAATGTTTTGATATGTATGCATAGAATGATACTGTTTAATAAAAACATACCTTTCCCATTTTATTTTAAAAATAACAGATTAGAAAAATGTGAAATAACAACTTTTACAATTATAATACAACATGCACTTATTTGTTATCATCAAAATTATTCCAACTTTTATGTCTGTTATCACTCGTAGAGTATTCTGTAATGAATCTGCAATAAATATAGAATGACGTTTATAGAGGGCGACACTAGCATGAGGAAATAATTCGAATGGTTTTTAACTGACAATGTTGACGATTCATCGTTTAATGTGTCAATTGTGAATTCAAATGTAAAATTTGTTTAAAATTTGCAATATATTTAAATATTAGCAATAGTATTACGTTGTATACTAGTATTAGAATTAAATTGTTGGTAATATATAAGAATAAAGAAGATGCAGAAAGAGCAACCTGAAGCATCACAGGCACGTCGTATTAAAAGGTAAATAAATGATTTCTTATAATTTTTTCTATTTGAATATAATAATTTTTATAAATTTTTAGAACACGTAATGCTTCTACACCTGAACGAGTTAGAAAGAACATATTGGATACTCCAATATCCAGCATTCATTCACGTGGCCCTCATCATAGAGCAACAATGTCATCAGCAGATTTTGCTATACCACAAAGTAATTAAATTAAATCTATTTTGTAAATTGATGCATTTGGAAGTGTGAGTATTAATGGATTTCATTACTTAGGTTTTGCAAAAAGAAAGCTAGCAATGGATAGATCATCTATAGTCCCTGCACCATCAATTTTGGAAGCAAGTAAATTGTCAGACACCGAGTCCAGTGATGTAGAGCTTAAACTTCTTTATGATGAGTATTTACAGAAGATTATGATGGAAATAATTTTGAAAAAGAAAGCAGAAGAAAGAGAGCAGTTGTTTCTATCTCAATTAGCAACGATAGCAAAGGAATACGATCACAACGAAGAAAAATTGTTTAAGTTAAAAACTAGAGAGAGGGATATAATAAATTTGACCAAAATACAGAATAACATTGATGCACAAATTACAGATATAAATAATTGTATCAGTAAGTAGTATTCAAAATTATATATTCGTAAAATCATACAATCAGAATTATGATTTTAGTATTAATTATTTTTTCTTATTAATTATAGAAAGTGAAGATACTAAAATATTAGGAGATATTTTATCTCAGTTGCATAGCCTTTTACAACCTTTGGATAAACTTCGTTGCAATGATATAATTCTTCCTGAAACACCAGAAGAATGGGAAGAAACAACTGAAGCTTTGAAATCTTGTTCTGTTACTTTAGAATCAATCATGAATGTAATTGGAACAAAAAAAGAATCATATCAAAGTGTCAATAATGGTATTAAAGAATTTGTCAGTACTTTCAATAATATTGAGGATCACATAAAAAGGTATGGAGTTCAAGCATCATTTGTTAATGATTATTATATTAACTAATATTATGTTTTAGGTTGGAAAAAGAACTTTGTAGTTTAGAATCCCTTGTTCTGAGAAGTGCATCACTATCCTTAATGCAAAGTGATAATTAAATATTAAGTTTCAATTTTGAATGTATACGGTAATTATGATACTGTTTTTATACATTGATGGTTTAGTTTAGAAATATTGTGTGTGCACTTTTTGTGAAATTTGAGATTTCTTGTGCTTTATAGTTATAGCCACGTTACATACACAAAATAATACATACAATGTAATAAGTATTTATTTAATATATCAATTGCCATTAAATCTCTAAAATTATTTTTCTCAAGAAGACTAAAAGTGGACAAACAATATTTATGCACCAAAGTATTAATATGTAGCAATTCTATTTTTATATTTATTTATAACAAAACCCGTTATAAATTATCATAGCTGTATTATAAAAATAAAAAGTGATTTTAAATTTTATGACACATTTATATCTCTTTCATACTAACATCAAGAATTTTTGGTTCAGGCTCAAGAATTTAACTGTCCTAACGAAAAATATCTCACGTATGATAATTTGATGCAGACGTCGCCATGTTACAAAAATTAGTGCAAGCCTTTTAATTAACAATCACCAGTATCCTGCTACAATTTTCGTCGCAAACGTTTACTACTTCAGAAGTGAGAATCAAAAGAGGTAACGTCACAGAAAAGAAATGGAATAATATGCTTTTACAACAAAGGATATTTTTATGAGTTTCGGGAGATACGCGATGTACCTTCACACGAGGATAGCGCTGCCGACGGAATTTCTTTGGAATCAACGTGTACGTGCTGATTGGCGAGTCAGAAGACGGGGTTGGAGGCGCGCGTACGCATGATCGCGACCTCTCGCCATATTTAATTTTTCCCAAATTTTGCCAACCGGCGCTGCAAAGAAAATCAACGGGACGAGAAACGTTTTCGAGCGGACGATCAATCGGAGCAGTCGAAAGATTGACACGAGACGGTCACGTTTGATATTCCACGAATATATCATGATGGAGGCGGCGAGGCGCAGGTCGCGGTATTCGCGTGCATCCAACCCCCGCGGATTTTTCCTCGCCCGCGCGCGATTTTATTCTGCGCATGGAAAGCAATTTTGCCCAATCATAAATAGGGCTATTGTGGGGGGATGGTGTATGCTGCTGGCGCATTTCATACATCCGAGTGTAATGGTAACCAGATAGAGGCGTCGCGCGGGGCTATCGGCCGGTTAGCATCGTAAATACTTATTACTTACTTCCTACGAAAAATTTCGTCTTCCTTTACCACCTTCTTTTTCCCTGTTTTTCCGTTTCACCTCTATCGCACCCTTCGTTTTTTTCTATTCCCTCTATCTCTTTCTCTCTCACTTCCCATGCCTGTATATATATATATACATATATATCTATATATATATATATATCTCTTTCTCTGTCGCACGCGATACGCTTTTTTTCCTCGCGGCGTGGAAAGCTTACGTATGACGTACTCTGTGCACGAAACGGAAGTAACGGCGTGATGCACGACAGGTCGCGCGCGCGTGACCTCTTACGTACGTGTGTGTCGTAGCGATAAATCGTGTTTGTGCGTGGGGTTGAGCGAGTGATCTGTGACGTCAGTGGTCCGATCGGTTGTCACCTGTCAAGCAAGCGTATCCATCGTCTTACCTCCATTTTCTCTTTCACCCTTTGTCTTTCTTATCTCCCTGTCCCTCTCTCCGAATATGTATTACTTGTACTCGTTCCGTCTCCTCTCCTCCTACTTGCTTCCCCTAACTACATCTCTATCTCTTGCTCTCTTACTTTTGGTCCCTCTTTTATACCATTGCACTCATACTAGTCACTCTCTTGCCGACCACGCAATCCGATCCATTTTCCTCCCTCTGCTCGGCGAGTACCAGCAACTAACCCCCTCTCTCTCTGCTTAACCCTCGCGGTACCCCTCCTCTCACCCTGTCGTTTCTTCCGTCCACCCACTTTCTACCCCATTTCCTCCCCTTTGCTCTCTCATCACTGTGCCAGCTTCTATCCTTGCCCACCCATTTTCTCTCACTCTTTTCGGTGGTAAAAGCAGTGGCGTAGTCAACAAAATTTCCCTTCATTGGAAGAGGAACATTACATCTCTTTTCCTCTTCGTCGAGGGATGACAGTTGTAAGGGCCACGGTACCAGAGATATACAGTTCTATGCGGCTGTATATTCGTATCACGAAAAAGAATGATCATTGGAGGATCGAGGTATTATCCATATTTACTCTAAACCATGACCAGTAAAGGTTCATACCAGGACAGGATCCATGAAAAATTCGATATCGCTAACACAGTGGTTCTCAAAGTATTCAAATTTATAGAACCTTAGAAAAATATTATTTATTTTTATTTTTTTAAGCATTTTTATATGGTATAGGGAATATGGACTAAGTATTTGGGACCATTGTAACACGTTTGTTTAAATTTTTTATTTTTAATTATTATGGTTTGAGATTGTACACGCGACATATTTTATTCTGATTTTTAATGTATGCACAGTTTTATCATTTCTGTTATTATATAAGCTGTTGTTATATTCTTTAAGCTGGTTCTTATTTTAAAGAATAATAAATAATTTTTTGAGTTATGTGTAATTTTGGATAGAGAAACTGCAAGTTTTTGATAACTGTTATTTTATTTGCAATATCAAGATGATTATACAAAATTTTAGGAATTAAAATTTGGTTTAGAAAGTGCATTTTGTGATCTTGTATTTACTAAAGTTGTAAAGTTAACAGATTTTTTAATTCTCAAGTTTTGAGGTTTTAAGTTTGTAAAATCTTACAATTATGAAATTAATAAATTCTGAAGGCCCTAATTTCCAAAACTCAGAAGTTGACAAATTTTGTAAGTCGCAAAGTTTCAGAATTCCAAATTTCTCAAACCTCAAAGGTCCACAGCTTAAAAATTCCAAAACTCCATAGTTTCAAAATACAAAAATTATAAAGTTCTAAATTTTCATCTATCCTAAAGTTTCGTACTCGTAAAATTCAAAATTTTATAATTCTACAAGCTTGAACAAAACTCAAAATTTCAAAAATTCCAAAACTCTTAATTTCACAAATCCATAAGTTCCAAAGACCCCAAATTCGAAGCTTCACCCCAGGAAAATTAAGAAGTTTCAAATTATCGTCTCAAGTCCCAAAATATCAAATTTCCCAAATCGATCAGGTCCCAAACTTCTCGCTTAAGTCCCAAATACCAAAAATATCAAAATTGCAAAATCCGAAGTTTCAAAAAGTTCGACAATGCAGATCTCCCATACCGAGCGCCTCCCCCTTAAAAATCTCAGTGCCGTAACATAGATATCCGGGCACCCTCCGGGCGTCGCTCAGTTTGCGAACCCCTGTCGAAACCGACAGGGGTTACTACACCAGTGGGCAGGAGAGCGTGTGTATCTCTATTCGTCCATCTCTTTCGAGCTTCGAAAGTGCTCTCTTACCGCGGCGTTCCCTTTCCCCTGATCCAGGGTGGTAGCGAAACCACCCCCGGTTCGCCCTTCCTGGTCGCCTCTCTGTCGGGCCGAAAACCGAGCCTTTGAAGCAGCGAGCACGACTGCCAGCCACCCGGTCGCCCACTCAGCCACCCCCGTTCTCCCGTTTGGTCTCCGGGCTGCCACCCACCGATATATACCCCGCTTGCTCCGCTCGCCGCGACGACCGCAGACACAAAAACAATAACAAATCGATTCGCGAGGGCAATGGGAAGGGGTCAGCAGCGAGGTAGGACGACGAAGAAGAGAGGGTCGGGCGGGGGTGTGTGTGCGTCTCTCTGTCTCTCTGGCTCTCTTCCCTTCGTAGCCGCCTCTCTTTTCCCTCGTTCCTCCTCGTCCCTCTTTCTGGATATTGTATAGAGAACGTTATGCTAAAGTATGCATGCACGAGGGTTGGTCGAATGGTCAGGAATCTCGCGAGTTCGTTCTGCGGCAGCACGTATCCGGACACGTATTTCTCGCTGGCGTGCCCTCGTGCCACGTTGCTCGATCGCGCCCGGTACCGCTGCGTAACTTCCGCTCGACTGAGAGGATCGGCTGTGCAACAATGACCCCCCGTAGCGGGCAACCGGGGGATGATTTACCGTAATGACGATCGGACGGAATCGCGGTAGGCCACCGGACGGTCATCCGTAAGACGAATCTCGTTCATTGTTTATTTGTTTTCTTTAAGAGACATTTTTAGTTTTTGCTTTATTTTGCGGTCCGTCGACGGTGCTGCGCCGTTGGAGGAACGCAGTGATGGGCACACTATCGCCCCGAGAGGGCTAACGTGCTTTGGGCCCTGATGTGAGGTACCGGAGATACGTGTGGATCTTGAGCTCTCAAGTTTAGCAATTTACTTGTTTGTTACAAACAGAACAACTTGTTTATTAAAAAATTGAGAAAACTTGACAATTCAAATTTGACACTTGGAGATTCTAAAAATTGAACAGTTTGAATTACAATTGCAACATAAATTGTGGACTCAGAAACTTGGCAATTTGAAATATGAAATTTGGAAGTTCAGAACCTCGTTTATAAAATTTGTAAATTTGCAAGTACACAAACATGGAAATTTATAAATTTATAAATGTAAAAATATCAAGTTTTAGTATCATCAAATATTCAAATTATCAAATTTTGCAGTGATCAAATATGCAAGTAATTACATTTCGCAACCATCAAATTTGGCTTTGGTAATTTAGAAATTGAGTAAATATCTGGCCATCAGTGTCCACAAGTGCACTACACCAGTGGGCAGGAGAGCGTGTGTATCTCTATTCGTCCATCTCTTTCGAGCTTCGAAAGTGCTCTCTTACCGCGGCGTTCCCTTTCCCCTGATCCAGGGTGGTAGCGAAACCACCCCCGGTTCGCCCTTCCTGGTCGCCTCTCTGTCGGGCCGAAAACCGAGCCTTTGAAGCAGCGAGCACGACTGCCAGCCACCCGGTCGCCCACTCAGCCACCCCCGTTCTCCCGTTTGGTCTCCGGGCTGCCACCCACCGATATATACCCCGCTTGCTCCGCTCGCCGCGACGACCGCAGACACAAAAACAATAACAAATCGATTCGCGAGGGCAATGGGAAGGGGTCAGCAGCGAGGTAGGACGACGAAGAAGAGAGGGTCGGGCGGGGGTGTGTGTGCGTCTCTCTGTCTCTCTGGCTCTCTTCCCTTCGTAGCCGCCTCTCTTTTCCCTCGTTCCTCCTCGTCCCTCTTTCTGGATATTGTATAGAGAACGTTATGCTAAAGTATGCATGCACGAGGGTTGGTCGAATGGTCAGGAATCTCGCGAGTTCGTTCTGCGGCAGCACGTATCCGGACACGTATTTCTCGCTGGCGTGCCCTCGTGCCACGTTGCTCGATCGCGCCCGGTACCGCTGCGTAACTTCCGCTCGACTGAGAGGATCGGCTGTGCAACAATGACCCCCCGTAGCGGGCAACCGGGGGATGATTTACCGTAATGACGATCGGACGGAATCGCGGTAGGCCACCGGACGGTCATCCGTAAGACGAATCTCGTTCATTGTTTATTTGTTTTCTTTAAGAGACATTTTTAGTTTTTGCTTTATTTTGCGGTCCGTCGACGGTGCTGCGCCGTTGGAGGAACGCAGTGATGGGCACACTATCGCCCCGAGAGGGCTAACGTGCTTTGGGCCCTGATGTGAGGTACCGGAGATACGTGTGGATCTTGAGCTCTCAAGTTTAGCAATTTACTTGTTTGTTACAAACAGAACAACTTGTTTATTAAAAAATTGAGAAAACTTGACAATTCAAATTTGACACTTGGAGATTCTAAAAATTGAACAGTTTGAATTACAATTGCAACATAAATTGTGGACTCAGAAACTTGGCAATTTGAAATATGAAATTTGGAAGTTCAGAACCTCGTTTATAAAATTTGTAAATTTGCAAGTACACAAACATGGAAATTTATAAATTTATAAATGTAAAAATATCAAGTTTTAGTATCATCAAATATTCAAATTATCAAATTTTGCAGTGATCAAATATGCAAGTAATTACATTTCGCAACCATCAAATTTGGCTTTGGTAATTTAGAAATTGAGTAAATATCTGGCCATCAGTGTCCACAAGTGCATCCACATGCTCCGTGTTCTCGCGGACACAGTTGCCCATCACTGGTATATAGCTTTGAAAATGCATCTCTGTATCATATATCTGTAACATTAAACGTGTTATCAATTTGCTAATGAATATTTGATTGCATGTGCATATGTAGTATTAAAAACTAGAGCAAAAATGATGAATATGTACCTTGAGTTTAAATATTGTTCTTCATATGTTAGTGCAATTATAAAATTATACAATTATACAGACCGCAAAATGTTAACTTGCTTGTTTAGCAGCTTTTCACAATCACTGTTGCGAACAGTATCGCGATGATGCGATTTTGTTGACGATGCTGTCGTGACTAAGGTACATTACACAGTTTCAAGTTATGGTACCTTTTTTTAAATGTAGACAAAGCTGTTGAGATCTGCATGCATGTTTAATTTATTGTTAACTTAAGGAGTGGGTTTGACAAATTTGTTTGTCATTTGCTAGATATATTATAGGTGGAATTGCTTTGGGAAATTTGAAATTGACATTTGGGGGTTTAAAAAAATTGAGAAGTTGCGTATTTTAATTTTTGAAGGGCGGAATTTTGGAAGGTTATAAATTTGGGGAATGGGAATTTAGGGAATGGAAATTTGAGGAATGGGAAATTGGGGAGATGGCAATTTGAAGGGATGGGAATTTGGGGTGATGGAAATTTGGGGAGATGGGAATCTTGAGAAATGGAAATTTGGGGAAATGGGAATTTAGGGAAATGGGAATTTGGGGAAATGGGAATTTGAGGGAATGGAAATTTGGAGAAATGGAAATTTGGGGGAATGGAAATTTGGAGAAATGGGAATTTAGGGAAATGGGAATTTGAGGGAATGGAAATTTGGAGAAATGGGAATTTAGGGAAATGGGAATTTGAGAGAATGGAAATTTGGGGAAGTGGGAATTTAGGGAAATGGGAATTTAGGGAAATGGGAATTTGAGGGAATGGAAATTTGGAGAAATGGGAATTTGGGGAAATGGGAATTTGAGAGAATGGAAATTTGGGGAAGTGGGAATTTAGGGAAATGGGAATTTAGGGAAATGGGAATTTGAGGGAATGGAAATTTGGAGAAATGGGAATTTGGGGGAATGGAAATTTGGAGAAATGGGAATTTAGAGGAATGGAAATTTGAGGAAATGGAAATCTAGGGATTGGGAATTAGGGGAAATGGGAATCTTGAGCAATGGGAATTCTGGGGAATGGAAATTTAGGGAAATGGGAATTTGGGGAAATGGGAATTTGGGGGAATGGAAATTTGGGGGATAAAAATTTGTGGAAATGGAAATCTGGGGAATGAGAATTTAGGAAATAGGAATTTAGGAAATTGGAAATTAGGGAATAGAAATTTATGAAACATAGAAATTGTTCAGTGTCGCCATTTTAATTACTAAAAATTAAATTAAAAAATTGTACAATTATAAACTTCTGAGTTCCACAGAATAAAAATACGAGACTTCATAAATCTCTAAATTTGAAAATATAAAAAAACTCTAAAACTAAAATATTATCCTCACTATGCAAAACACGAACATACACCATATAGCTACATATCTATGTACATATAATATGTACCTTGCATGGTTCTCTACTATCCGCATATTCCAGCAATCTTAACGCGTTACAAGTGACCCCTGAAACATTTTCTATTTGCTATTAAACCTCCGCATTTTCAAACGTTCCAAAAGCTCGATAGAAATTGTGCAACTAGAATATTTGCTTGCATTATTGTTGTCAGATTTATGAGATAAAACGCAGAGTACCGCAAACAGCAGCGACGAATAATGCATTTCCTCATTTTGCCAAGCTATTTTGTTCGTCGAATAATTTCGACGCGCGGGCGTTCGATAAATTATTTAATAAATAAATTCTCCACGCGCTGAACGTTCCGACATTTTTTCTTTAATTTGCTTTAATTAATTGCCTCCTGATCCCCGATTGCCTTTACTCTCCTTTGAACCCGGAATCATTTGTCTCATTGTTACAAGAACACAATTAGCAAATAAATTATACAACTGTTCTTTTCATACTTTAATATCACGGATTACGTAATCGATGAATCGGGAAAATAATTTATTATGACGTTTCCACGAAAATCTGGATTAACGATCGATCGCAAACTTTTGTTAACTAAAACGGTACTCCGGTTCATTTCGATATTTTTTTTTTCAAACGGAAACGGTCATTAAAATGATTACATTGTCCTGACAGTTTTACGCGCCCGGATGAAGTTTTGGAAATAATGAGTTCAAAGCTTGCACATCGTGGACCTATTTATTAAACATTACAAAATGCACTGCAATTAAGCAGTGCTTCTGGCTGTTGCGAAAACTCTATTCAACATCGTTCCTCTTTTGTTTCCCTGTTGCTCTTTATGCACCAACGTAAATTTAGTGAACTCAATTCGTTTATTTCTCTTCTTTCTCTTTTTTAACACTACAATAACCGGTATGGACGCACACCAATTTTCATATCAAGCTGCACGTTTTCAATTAAACAAAATACTTTTGTATTCGCTGGGGGAAAATATCTTTTCATTAATAAATTTCTTTGGTAAATTGTTTGTGTTTAATATTTATTATGTTTTATAGATTTTATTGTTTATGTTTATAAGTTTATATTTATAGGTTGGCAAGTTGACAAATTGTCAAATTTACAAATATACAATTTTTCAAATTTATAAGTTGTTGACAAATTGGCAAGTTTACAAATGTACATGTTAATAAGTTGACAAGTTTTCAAGTTGACAAGTTTTCAAGTTGACAAAATGACAAGTTGAGAAAATGACAAGTTGACAAATTGACAAGTTGACAAATTGACAAGTTGACAAATTGACATGTTGACAAATTGACATGTTGACAAATTGACAAATTGACAAGTTGACAAATTGACAAGTTGACAA